ATGCACAAATGACTCTGAGACTGCTCCGTTTGGAGTGTAGACTCATTTACCGTTAAATATGATTATGACAACGCGAGCAGTGGGGGTGGAAATGAAGAACGGGTGTGTCTCAGAGCTGCGAGCAGTCTCAAACAACCCGGCTGAGGTTTAGCTCCCTGACATCACAGAGATAAAGCCTCCCCAAAACAGACTAGTCAGATTATACTGTCACAGACAAAGCTCCATGCTTTTATCGTGCGTGAAAACATGAGCAGGCCTTGGGTGGTTTTAGAAGATGGGGGGTAGACGGAGGCACAATCACTTCATCTGAAAGGAAAGGGAGGTGTGTTGTCTTGTCGCTTAGCGGAAACGCCTCCTCCTCCATACAGTATGCAGCCCAGGGGCAACGGCAGGCTGGGCAGATAGTTTCGCTGAGATTCTTTGACATTTCCCCGTCTCTTGCTGCCCCGTATCTCCCAGGCGCAGAGGGGGGATGTTGGGTTCTTTATCAAGGAGCCCTGAGAGAGGATGATAAATCGCCAGAGCCCGGGCCAATCTCCAGTGCAACAACAAGCAGGTAGCAGAGCAGGAAACAAGGCAGAGATATTGTCTCCCAAACATAGCCCCGGCTGTAATGAAGCCGGCACAAAGCGGACAGCAGAGAGTCGGCCTGATAAACAATTCCATATCCAGTCTTCCTCCCAGAGATAGTGAGTCTCAGTCCTGCTGCTACATATCGCTGCTGGACTCAACGAGCCAGAGATAAGCCCTCACCCCTGAACGGGGGATGAAGGGGGGGGGGGGGTGTGTGTGTGTGTGTGTGTGTGTCTAGAAATGTCAACACCTGGATATACACATGGTGCTCTTATGGGAAAGTAAGTTAAGGTTTGTTATCCACCAGTCCGTTTTTGTAGACATATATATAACACTGTAAGGTATACATTTGTTATGTTCCTAACACTGTTTGTTGTAATTGCATTCAATTTAACTCATTTAGATAACAGAAAATGACTACCAACCACTTCTGGTATGATGCGGTTCATTATGTATTTGTTGTGTAATTGCACATATAAGTACATGTATACTCGGTTTAAGAAATCTTAGATGTGTTGCCCTTTTGAGTCAGAGAGATACATGAAAAGTGAATTATACATAAACACTTGAACTATACTGTATGTTTGCCATACATGTAGATAACCATGCTAAAGGGGCCCTATTGTGCTTTTTGGCTTTTCTCTTTCCTGTAGTGCAGGGCTCTCAACACGTCGGTAGCTCGCGGGCAGCTTTTCAGTAGCTCGCCGCACAATTATCGATTATAGCGTAGTAAGGTTCCTTATTGATTTTTCGGCCGCGGCTGGACAATAACGTTTTTTTATTTTAGAATGTTTTCTGTCACACGAATATCAAATTGGTCGGCGACGCAGAGATCAAGGAACAGACGGATCACCTCCACACACGGACCAGTCTGCTTTCTCCACCAACACCAGTCAGAACCAACAGCAGAATGACCCGCTCTGAATCAGGCTGCGTCGCTGCGGCTCAGACACACAGGGAGGGATTTGTGTTTTTTGAAAAACACCCGTTATCGTCATGTCAGGTTTTTGGTGGATTTAATCAAGTCTTGGATTGCAGAGTATGAATGTCCTCTTGCTATTTTCAGTTGATAAATACTTGTGTGAAGTTTGTGAAGGCAGGAGGAAAGCTTCCGCGATCACCGTCTCCTCTCCGTTCCTCCAAACCCCGCCCCCTCCCTGAAGATAATGGCTGACAGTGACCCGATAGAAACGTTATTATTCACTTAATCACTGATTGAGATATGATGCTAACTTAATCTCATACATTCATGGGATTTATGTAACAGTAAGACAGAGAATGTAAGTGTGCACCCACATGCACTATTTTTGTTTTTATAATGCTGTTGTAAATACTCCTGTTGTCTGCTGTGTTCAGACTTCATGTGTGTGATGCCACATTCAAGACATTCACTGTCTCCTTTTCTTAACAGAAGACCGTTGCTAGAAGCTGCAGCAAGACTGCAGAAGTATTAGTTTTTTGTTTTTGAGGATGGAACAATTTCACACACAGATATAGGGAGGCTAGACCTAAAATTGATTTATTATGGTTTATAATTTAATGTCAAGACGAAGAAGAAGAAGAAAAAGATGGCTGAACTGTTCAGTGTCTGTGGAGATGTCCAAAATAATGTTCAGCTTAAGGCTCAGCAAAACTCACAACATTTCTGGAGCCTTGTAGACCCATAAAACTATAAGAACATTCACCAAGCAGCACTGAACATACTGCTTTATTTGGTTCTACAGACCTTTGTGAAGCAGCTTTTTGTGACATGAATGAAATCTAAATACAGAACAAGACTGACTGATGAACATTTAAATGACTCTATACCTAAGTGGGTACACTTCAGCATACACCTGTATGGTGGACTCCATGCAGCGCCATTCATCTCACTAACTGTACAAACGAGTGAGATGCTTGTAAGGTGGTGATTAAGGACATTTATGTGAATGTTCAGTGATGTACTTACTATGAGGGCCATAATGATATGTGAGACATTGTCGTTTTCTTGGACCTTGATGTGAAGTTAAGATTTTTGATAAGCTTTAGGTATTGCAATTCCACACGTGTACAAATGTATAGCTTAATTCAACTGATGAGTGCTATGTGAATACATGTAAGCGATGTGATGCAAGTAGCTCTTGGCCACTTTCATTTTTTCAAAGTAGCTCTCAGATGAAGAAAGGTTGGAGACCCCTGCTGTAGTGTGTTATAGGTTTATGCGCATGTGAATGGTCTGCAAAGGCTAACATTGCAAAGTCCCCTCTAGAGGGAACTGTATAATACACATCAATGGCCAGTATTTGTATTTATCTAGTTATTTCTTTGACTTATTTGAATCTAACGTAAAATACCCTCAAAACATTCAAATATGGACATTACAACATTTAAAATCCGCAATGAATAGCTTGGTTTGATATATTTGCACCAGCCTGCAGAATCTTGTATCAGTATTTCAGACATACAAAGAAGAGGAGACCGAGAACAAAGGCGTGATGAGGGTCATGTCATGTTCGCAGAATGTGTGCAGATGATGAACTGTGTGCAGCATTGAATGAATGAAACCAGCAGACAATGCATTCTGCCAAATAATGATACTGCAGTATAAAAGTATTTTCTGTTTCCAAACACTCCAATTTCCCTTTCTCATGAGTCTGATAGTAAAGCCCGGAGATTTCCTTTACATTGTGGTGTACACCATTCAAACGAGGCCATTCGAGCCTGGCAGGCTACATAGGAAGGGAGACATATGGAAGCATAAACAAGAAGGAGGCGTTATCTCCCATATATGTAGAAAACAAACTGTCAGGAGATATTTACGTTTTAAATGTCTTACTTCATAGTGACAGATAGCCAGCCCCCATCCGACGACTTGATTTCAGAGCGATGGCGATCAGTGCTAGGGGCCAATCAGAAGAAGGCTGTGGTCGTACTATTGGGGGCCGATGGGACTTCCTATGGCTGTCCCCGCCCTTTTGACCCTTCCCACATCACACACAGCCCTCCACCCACATCCATAACCTCTTCCTGAAGCCATAACGCCGGCCTCCTCCTCCCATACCTACTCAGCCTCTGCCCCGCTGATCCCCTTCTACCCACAACCCCCCTCCGAAACCATCACACTGTAAAGCCTGAAGCACTTACAGATAAGGAGAGACCCCCGGAAATCAAGCGTTCTGCAGCAGAGCAGATTGAGAGTCAGAGCTCAGCACCAGGAGGAGCCCGCAGGCGGCAGATAGCACCATCGCATCGCCCGGGAACAACTTCCTGCCCCTCGAATCCTGGACTTTCCTCTGCTTGCACACTATACCGACGACCCCACAACACCAAGCCCCCTCCACCTCCAATTCTGCCCTCTGACTCCTTCCTTCCTCGTTCGGATGAAGAGAAGGCCTCGCTCCCTGCCAACTCAAACTGACAGCTCGAGCCAAAGGGCTTCCAGAGCTTTTTTGGGAGGTCTTGTTTGTTTTCATCCATCTGTGAGTATGCGGCCGCCGGGGAATAGGAATGTGACATGTTCTATTAAAACAAAATGTAAAAGAAAAAGAAAAAAAGATAGCGCAGAGATCAAGGTCTTCTGAAGTGAAGCTTTGTTCGGCGCTTTATCTGCGGTCCTTTGAGGCAGATTAACGATGACAAACCATTTATAGTTGTTATGTTTGTCGGGGTGATTGCTTCCAAGCTGCAATAAGAACTGCCATATGCCACTCATCAGCTAAAAGTAGCACACTTTAAAGAATGTTCCTCTTATTAGTGCCCCTTTAAGCAAAGGACGACTGCTGTCTCTATTACCCAGAGACGAGACACATCTTCGAAACAATGGGAGGGGTGGAGCGCAACTTTACGGTGTGGAAGAAGCACCGGGGCAAGGCAACAGATGCTATCAACGGATAAAAATAGTCCTGCGCTGACAAATTGTGAGCTAGCGTATGTTTGAAAGGATTGGGCTGACGTTTTCCAAGACATCACTAAATATTCCTCGCGGGCACTTTTCCCTTGAAGAACACATGTTACTGACTCACTAGCTGTTTCAGACACATCATTAGACATGTTTAACTGCTAAAGTTGTAAATGTAGACGCGGTTCTGTGGCGCTGAGGCATTGTTTTTATTGCTTAGCCTTAAAGAGGCTTTCAGGCATATTGTCGTATATGAGCAAAAGGCTCCATTGACAGTCACTGGAGGAAGACATAAAACTCTGACAGCCAAACTGCAGCACCGGCGGACAGCGTTGATCGATGCCAATAAAACGAGGATCTTTTTTCGACAAGGTAGCGCAGGACACCTTCCCGCAATTTAATCAGTCAGCCAGAATTAATGTTCCTAATATCATGATTTCTCCATTACTCTATTTAACATAATTAAAATGTCGAGCGCCGGGGCCATAAAGCGGGTCGTTGGAGATTGTAATTCTGCCGTAAAGCCATGAAGCATGAAAATGCCACTTACCGAGTAGCCGCGGCCTGACAGCGAGTGAGGGGAGCTCTGTGGGGAAAGAGAGGAGAACAGGGATGACCTTTAAGGAGCGTTTCACTCGCTGACACAGACATGATGAAGCAGCGCCGCTTTAATATCAATATTCACGTTAACCTTTTACCCGCCCCGCCATGTACCCCACGCCTGCACACATCACTCCCGCACACTCTGGCCTCAGCCATGGGGGTAGCTGAGCAGCTCCCGATCTAAAAATAAATCACTCACGTCCTGTGGGGGACTTCATTGAGTCCTCAAAGAAATACACTGTGTAAAACCTGAACTATTTGGTAAAATTATAGTGAAAATTGTGAAAAATTGTCATTGGAGCATTTAAAGCAAAGTGTAAGGTGCATTTGCAGTGCTTAAAACATGATTTAGCGACCCAAGCTCACATCTTTACATATATAAGCTACTTTGGTCTATGGCGCAAAACATACTAGTCTCACAATAACCCCCTAACTCATTTGTAATGGCCCTTCGATGTCACATGACAGGGTCTATGCAGGAATCCTGAAGTCAGACCTTTTAAGACCTTTTTTAAGACCCTTTCCGTACATTTTAAGACCTCATCGCCACTTTGAGTTCTAACCGGTTACCTTGGCGACACACTTTACCTCACATTGACTATATACAGTATTGATTGTCCTTCCTCCTTATCTTCCAACCATTTGGATGCAGACTTGCATTTCCCCATAACGATGTTGCTTAGCAACCGGCGTAAACTGACCTTTGCGCTATCAAGCAGTGAGCGTGCGATGTCCTGTTCAGATGACGTCAAACCCAACGGGATGCCATAAATAAACTACACAGAATCACACTACACACCTAGGCCATGATTACATTCAGGCAGACTGTAGAATACAACCTCTTTGGACCATTCATATACTTATTGAAAACAAGCTACAAAATGTAAAACCTTGGAAAATGCGGTTTAATACTTTTTAATAGCCTTAATTTTCGCTAAATTGATTTATCAACTTTTAATACTTTTTAAGACCCCGCGGACCCCCTGCATAATCATGGTCAATGAAAATAACAAAAATGCTATGAACGCTGCTATCGCTTAAACCATCTTCTTAAACAAAAAAAACCTGAGACAATTTCCATTGTAACTATCAAACTAAACACCTTACAACACTGAACAAAGATTCTTGCAAAAAATGTCATCAAAGCAAAAGTTTCCTAAAGTACAGAATTTTCCAGCTTTGTTGTTTTTTTCTGACCAAAACTGTGCCATTACAAATGAACAGGGGGGAAATCGAGATTTTCGGACAATGATGCCGATTGTCGTAGTGGCCGAACAGCGGTTCTTTAAGTGTCAGTCCGTGAATATATTGGACCTATTGACTTACATGGGGATCCACCCAGTACAAGCACTTGAATAGCCTGAATCGTTACATTACATTACCTGTAACTTGTTAGACGCTTTTATCCAAAGCGACTTACATACTTAATACTGTGGGCAATCCCCACAGGAGCACTTTGGGGTAAAGCCGACATGCTGACTGCAGTGGGGTTTGAACCTGACCCGAACACCAACGCACAACCCACTGCACCACACGCCTCTCACATGCCACATATATACATTTCTGGGGAAAATACGTAGCCATTTTACAATTTTCGAGGTGTTATTTGGAAGCTACTACGTTTACGCTGTGGATTAACGTAGCAAATACACGTTACGATGTGAACCTGAGTCCGAGTTAATGACCTTATAATCGTTGATGGCTAAAAACGAGTCAGATTGTTTTAAATACAGGTTATAGATTGAAGTGCCGCTCACTATTTATTTGTTTGAATTGCTTCTGCGCCTTTAAGAGTGCCATCTGACATTGATAGACACATGGGAGTAAATCCATCACCTGCACACGTAGACGAACTGATAACACATATAAAACCTTGATAGAAAAATGATTGTGTTGAGAGTGAGTAGCAGCTTATGAACGCTGCTAGCCCAAAAATAATGGCTTCTCTTCTTTTTCCATCTCATAATTTCCCGGCATTTGTTTTGCAAGAGCATCAACAGGCAAGACATCCTTTCCAAAATGCTTTATATTCTTTCAGGCAAAAATATATTACGTGTTGTTCACGCTATGAGGGCAATGCATCTTAAAATGCAATCTTACAATATAAGCTGTTTTATTTAAAAATGATGTCAGCCGCATTCTGCAAACAAGCGTTCTTCATTTTGAATCAGCCCCGATAAATATCTTTTTATGCGTTTAGGGAGGTATTTTGGGCCGTCAGACTCCTCCTGTGTCTCTAATGCAGTCCTCTGAACGCTGAACAAGAGCAGGATGGAGACTGAATAAGCTTACGTTTTGTTCTGTCCGTCAGAGCCCAGCACGAATACCAATCTCCAAATCCCTCCCTCCACTTCCACTTTTCACTTCTTTTATTCTCCTGTCTAGATTGGCAATTTCTCCCCCCCTGGTCTCGGGAGGGGACTTTTCTGCTAGACCAATTTCATCCATAGGTCCACCTTCAATCCGAGCGTCCTCCCCCACACCTTCGCCGCCACCTCTCTTGTTTTGCACCCTCCCGACACCCCTCATCCTTTCTCCCACACCTGCTCTAAGGCCTCGGCCCTCATCAACGCCTCTCTGCCCTCTGATTCGCAGGACGCCTCCCGCCGTGACGATTAGGGAGGAGTCCCGCCGCGAACCGGAAAGCAGGCTCTGCGGGAATGAAAAGGCTATTCCCACTCTGCTCAACCTCTCTGAAACCACCACGAGCAGAGAGAGGGAGAGGGGAGCACAGTCTGGGGACACAAAGGGGCCAAAAGTGTGTACAAGTGAGAATGTGGCATGTTGTCTGTGAGTGTGCATGTTGTGAGTGCACTTACATGTGCGTATGGGCATAGGTGGTGGGAGGCCAAGGCCATTTGGAATTAGCCTTACTATGTAGAGTTCATTCAACTTGGAGCATTCTGAGCAGAAAGAGAGGCTTATTTAAATGATAATGAGGGACAATCCATTGGATTTAGTGCCAGTGAAGGGAGGAAAAAGAGGGGAGGGAAAGAGGGGGGGATCCATTAAAACGCCAGCGGTTCATAAGCCATAGGGTCGGCATCCAGCTAAACACTCTCTCTTAAAAGCCATTATACATGGCTCTCAATGGATTTCTGCAGCGCTTAGGACTTCAAAAGGATTTAAAAACCCGCCCCAGAGAGGGAGTGTGGGGGAGGGAGCAGTGCGTGTGTGTGTGTGTGTGTGTGTGTGTGTGTGTGTGTGTGTGTGTGTGTGTGTGTGTGTGTGTGTGTGTGTGTGTGTGTGTGTGTGTGTGTGTGAGTGTGTGATGGCAAGAGGGATGGGGCGGATGCTGGCGGCATTTAAGGGTTAACTAAACAGCCCCGGAGAAGAGAAATGTTGCTAAATCCGCCCCCTAATCCTCTCCCCATTTCCATGCCCCCTCCTCCACTCGGCTCACTGAAAAAAGGAGAGTAAAAAGAAAATCACGGCGACAAGAGGGGAGGGTCCGGTCCATCTTCTCCCAACCCAGACTATTGGTTTTTGTGGATGAAGGAAGCCCAAGAGGGGAGCCATTCAGAGCGCGATGGAGCGTGACGAAGGGAAGAGATGCATGTGAGGCCGATCAGGTGCTGGGTGGGTGGGTGTGGGTGGGAACAGGAGGGTGTCGGCACCACCACTGTTGCCCTCTCCTCCGCAGGACACAGATGAAGTGGAACCCCCCCCCCCCCCCCCCTTCTCATCCTCCACCACCTCATATTTCCCTAATCCCTGTGTGGCTTAGTGCCGGGGCCCCGCTGCACCGCAGGCACAATTACCTAGTCAAAATAAACAGATAAAGACCCGACCATGGCAATGAACAAACAGCTTCCCCTGCAATTCTGTTTTGGTTTTTTTTCCAAACCCTGTGCTCCCAAATTGATGCATGACTGTTTTTAGAGGCGGGCAGGCGGGTGCGTCCACATTTGTCTCTATTTCCTTTGGCAGTAAGACAAGAGGAATCCATTTTACTCGTCGGCATCATTAGTTAAGAGCTTTTAAAAGCCGGGGAGCCACTTTGATGTGGTGGAGCGTGTTTTACGGAAACATTTGCGGTGCTTTCACTGCGGTGGCGGAGACTTCACGGAGCTGGAAAAATAAGAAATATAGAGGAAATCTCGCTGTGTGAAGGCCTGGAATACAACAGCCCGCGGAGAGACGGACAGACGGACACAAAAGAGGTGTATGAAGGTGAGAGGGAGAGACAGAGATGCCGCGGTTACAGCGATCAGCGTCTGTGCACCATTTATTTGGCAGCAGATTAGAGAGACATGCCACATCTAACACCGTCGGCGATTACAGCGTGCAATTTTCAACAGTGCCCCCCCCCCCCTACTCTATCACCGCAACCACCATCACTCTCTCCCCCCCCCTTCTTCTGTGCTTGTCGTATATCCCTGTCAGAGCTGTCAACCGGCGTCGGTCTTTTATCTGACAAGCCCGCCTCTTCCCCCTGACTTTTTCATTAAAAGACAGCCTTTTACACAGATTCAGGAGGAAGAGTGCGAGAGGAAGAGGGGGGACAGAGCACCAGAGAAACAGAACAGCAGGGAGTAGAATAAAGAGGAAGGAGATGGGAAAAATTAGGCTGGCTGATTTTGTTCTTACTCCAATCAAGCTGGATTTGCAATTGGAGTGCTGAATGGCTTAAAACAATGTATTTAATAAGTTCATTTAAATCCCTTTCCTCTACCATTGCTGTAAAAAGCAGCTTTCCTTCCCCTTCTTTCTCTCCCTCTCCTCCTGCTGCTTTCGTCAGCTAAATGAACAGTCTGATTGAATTTGGTTGAGTTTGGGAGGTCTGCTTGACAGGCATTAGTTAGGAAGCATATTTCTACATTCATTTAAAATGAGCCGCTTGGGATTTTTGCATAAATTCTCATTACTTCCCCCTGTATCTAAATTGCATTATTTCATCCCTTATGCTGCGCCGATGCCATGGCCTCCATTTTCCTTCGCCACTGACTCTTCCTCTAAATGGGTTAGCATATGGATGCCGGCACGGCGGCGATAATTGGAGCGCTTTCTTTAACTCGTTCCAGTCCGGGGTCGTGGAGGTCAGCCCACACCTGGCTGAACTGCGTTAGGTCATGTCTATATTTAACCGTGCAATGCTTAAATAATGCCAGGCCAACAAGGTGCTGCTGTGTGACTGGCTTAACCATTTCCTGTCTGTGTGCTACCAGCCAACCATCACATAGGGGATTTATGAGGTGATACCTGGAAACAGCAGGAACTACTGCACCTCTCTGATCTCAGCCTCAATGTTGCTGTCGCCCGCCCACTCTCTATTTCCAACCTCCCCCCCTCCTCGGCCTGTGAAAGTGGATATTCCTGCCCGCTGTCGGAGGTCCGTGGAGAGGGGAAAGGTCTCGTCCGACGACTTACCTCGATGAGCTGCTCCTTGGAGTTGCTCCTGTGCGGTCGGCTCAGCTCCTTCACCGCCTCGTCCTCGCTCACTTTGACCGGACGTAGCGTTAAAGGCTTGATCTGTAGGGGACACAGGAAAAAGGACATCTTAAAATCACGCCCTTGTATCATGAACCACATTACTATGTTCATTATTAAGCAATATTCAAAGTATGTAATTCTGGTTTTTGTGTCAGAGTTTTATTTAAAAGCTGGCTGGATACATAAATAAAATACAAGGTATTTTAACGGCTTGATCTGCAGGGGACACAGGACATCTTAAAATCGTGTCCTTGCATCATGAACCACATTACTGTGTTCATTATTAAGCAATATACCCTGTCAGGCATTGAAGAGGTATTATCCTAAAAGCTGCTCTGATAGAACTGTAAATCACTGCTGACTGGCTTCTTACCTTAATACCAAGGCAAGGAGAAAGATTCAAACTGTTATATATTAAAAGACCATAGGCCAAAGTCGAGTGCTAGTTTCTTACAGATGACATGAACAACATAGTCTTTTCTTTTGGGAACTTTGTCAATGGCTGCACAGAACTCGAAGAGGACAATATGGTTTTACGCTATCATAATTATTGAATTATTCAAATCGAATATACTCTGATACCACTATACCAATAAAGCGTTTTAAAAGTAGGTTATTCTGGTTTCTGAGTCAGAATCTTGTTTTTTTTAATATCATATTTATTGGAATTTAACATCTCTGTAAAAACTGGCTGGATATATAAATACAATTAAAGCTATTTTATGACCTTTGTTTGTAATTATTAACTATACATTGTATTGGTAGTAAAAGTGTGTAATTACATCTTGTTGGATTTTGTGTTCGACCTAATGATTCTGTAAAGGGTAACATTCTTGATTGTTGATTATAACAGACTAGTTGTTGTTTTTGTGTATGTTGTGCAAATAATGCGAACATTTGTTTGACTGTTTATGAGTGGGCCCAAGAAAGAATAGCCAATGCTAATGCTAGTGCTCAAAGTAGTCCTAATAAAGACACAAAGAAGGATCTACATACTCCACAAGTAGGGCATCTATGCATAACAATACAGTGCAGCTACAAAGGATACAACTGGATGTTAGTGGGCTCCCTCTATTCTCAACCTGAGGGAAACACAAAGTCAGTGTGATGACTCAGCTTGGTGTCAGTTTGTGCTTTGGCTAAATGCAAAGCATTAAATACAACTGGCTGTAGCAAAAACACCTGCGACACCAAACCTCAACCCACTGCTGCGTGTGAAGATATACCATACTGTAGTTGTTGTGCATTTCTTTTATGTACTCTGTTGAGTATTGACATCTGTTTATCAATGTTATTTTACTATTACAAAACCACCTCCTATACATATAGCTTAGGTAAGACAGACTATCCTCCCAGAACATATTTAGCATTATGCTAATGCGATAATAAGACACAAACACATCATTAGGTTGGCAACGAGCTAGAAGTATTGTTTTAATTGCTCGCCTTATCCTCCACACAGAAATATAAAATGTTCCTAAATATGAACCAGTAAAACCGTAGAACCGCAAAAAACGGATTTACTGCTGATTTCTTTTAAAATTCAAAATCCAGTCCGAATTCAAAGCTACGGCACATTCATTTGACCACAGCTCTTTAGGTCATCACAAAGGCATTATGAACTGGAAGAAGACAACGCTGAACGAACAATATTTCCAAACCATTCAGAGAATTAAAGATCATGCTTTTGTTTTCTGGTCTTAATATAATAATAAAAGTTCTGGTATCGGTACACATAATAGCTATAGGTGGTTTGAATGTACACGTGGCAGTATTTGCCACCCATATCACAGGAACCCTGATCTAATCCTGGATAGCTTGGTGTTTTGCAGGGCATCAAGACCCACAGTTGGCATGCATTCAAATTCCCAGCCAGATGGGAGGTTGGCGAGCTCAGCCAGGAAGACGATGAGGTGGTGAAGCAGCAGCCAATCACAGAGTCCCGTGCTGCTTCGCCACCTTGGAGTACAGTGGCGATGGCCGCGGGGTGTAATCCATTCGACTATCAGTTTGTATGTAGCAGCTCCCCTGGTGGCGCACGGTGGCTGGCCCCCGTCTCCTGATCTCCACTGTAATTTAAGCAGATCACTGCTACAATTAACCTTTCCCGGTAAATATCAATTATGGCCCCCGGCTGGTTTAGAATTAAAAGGGTCATCAGCTAATCTGACAGGTCGTGTACGCTACCACCTGGCTGGGAGGGAGGCGAGAGTGTTTGCCTACCCTCGTGCCCACCAGCTCACATGCCAAGTCGACACAATTCCCTTTTAATTACCCTGGGCAGCCATGCTGATTGGCCAAGGGGCATTAGCAGTGCGCTGAGGTCAACAGTGACAGGACAGGGGTGGGGAGGAAGAGGAGGAGGAGGAGGAGGAGGAGGAGGGAGCCGGCACCAAGCAATCATGGTGTAGAGATGGAAGGAAGAGAAACCTGGCAGGTGGGCCTAATCAGGTTTGACTTCCACCTCCACATGCCTCTCCCTCTGCCTCTCGCGCTCTCTAGCTGTCAGCCTAATCACTCCTTGAATCTCAAAATAGATGGTGGCCTTTTTTGATTTCCTTCCCTCACAAAGAGAGCAGCCCTTCTCTGCAGGCAGGCATGCAGGCAGCGACAGAGGTACAGTCGCCGTCAAGTCCCCGTCAAGTGCAGCCGTTGATTACTTTGTTTACCCAGCATCAGTGTTGCTGACAAATTCCTGAAGGCGCCCGAAGTGTTTCCGTCTCCTCCAGGACCCGCGGCTGCATTAGCCAGTCAGCAATCAACTCAGCTATTGATCAGAGCACAGCGTCTAATTAGCCGTCGAGGTTAATGATGAAGCGCGCGAGGAACACTCCCCGAGCCGCTGATCAACGGGACAGGAGAGCAATTGATCTAGGCGGAAATTCACCAACTCTGACAAAAGATTGGCAACGCTGACGGCCTGTGATTAAGGCAGGGACTAATTTCCTGTCTGGGGAGGTGTTTAATTGGCCCTAAGCTCCCAACTGTACAGCTTTCATGTGTTGTTTTTTTCTTTTGTGTGTACTCATTAATGTTAAAGGACAAGTTAGCGAGCTACAGGGCTAATGGTCTCTGCTGAGATCTGATTGGTTGCGAGAGGTGACAGAGTTCAAGGTCGTAATGCCTTTTCCACTATGCTTGAGGTCATTTTGAGGGAAAACCTTGAGGAGTTCTTGGGCAACTGTGAGGTTTTTTTGTGTTGATTTAGTTTGTCCACATTGAAGAATCGACCCATGCAGTACTGGGACAAGGTTAATCAGGTTGAAGCAGTAAGTAATGTGGTTAATCTGTGTGGGGGGGGGAAGGACCGAGGGGGTTCGACTTAAGACGACAGATAGAAGAGACGTGGAAAAACATAGCTAAGTAATGGCCTGTGTTTCACATGAATAATGTACTGGAAATTAGCTCCATTAGTCTCGGTATTGAACATGTCTGCAGTCCCTCTCTAGAGGCCGCCGCTCGGTGCTCTTTAATTATCTTCAAAGAGCCCTCCAGCATCTTAATTTCCCCCCAAGTTGAGTAGTGCCGACTTGGGTCTCCTCATTTATACTACTCTAACCCTGTGAAGTCACACAGCCCGCACTACTTAGAAAAGGCTAGTCAAGTCGATGGAGGCAGTAGTAGTTAACATGGACTCATGCTAGGCTAGGCTAACTCTCCTCTTATTTTCACTCTCCCTGCAGTGCGTGCCTCTCAGCAGCCTGTCAGCAGGGGTGATGCTTTGTTGTCTTGCTCCTTTGATCCTACCTCCTTCACCTTGCAGGGGTTTTCAGGAGGATGGGGGGGGGGGGGGGGGGCGGCATCGAATGGCTACCCAGTCTCCCTCCTTGAATAAGAGAAGCTGTTAGTCCTGACCTGGCTTTTCCTCTCCTCGCTCCGGCCCCTCGTCTCCCCCTCGCCTGCCGTCACCTGTCAGCAGCGCTCAGGGAGGCAGTGCTTCAGCCTTGTCCCGGTGTCAATCCTTATTACCCCAGGACCCTGGACCTTGGCCCCTGCCCGCCCCCTTTTCTTTACAGCTGCCTTGATGCTCTTCTTCTCAGCATAACCGCGCTCCAATATCTGCTCTATGGGCTTCCCATGCGCAGCGCGGGAGGAGAAGAGGGGCAAAACAGGGAGGGGAGGGCTGGAAAGGACGAATACAGATCCTTCCTCTAATTTGTTCTGAAAAGTGTCCTGCGCAAAGGACCCTCACCCCCATTAACCCAGCGACAGGCTGCTACCGCTGCTCAGGGAGGCATCAGCAGTGTGTGTGTGTGTGTGTGTGTGTGTGTGTGAGGGGGGCTCGGTAGTGCGTCGGGCACCTCGGCGCTCAGTGCCCGGCTCCGGCACCGGCTCAATCTATCGGCTCATTATCCCCCCCGCCCAGTCTGGGGTGCAGACAAGTGCACTTTAGGGCCACAGGCCAAATTGATTCATCTGCCTTCATTTTCTTCAGGCTCAGAAGTGGCAGCTGCTCAGAGGCAGGGGGAAGGAGCTTTAAGATGGTGAGAGACAGAGCGAGGAGAGAGGGAAGAAGAGAAGGAGCGATTCTGGGATGGAGTGAGGCGAAGGAGGGAGGCTTCAAGAGAAGGAGGTGTTCTTGGCTTTGTTCCTCTTCCATTACTCATTTCACTTTTCTTCCTCGTCCTCTCTCTCTCTCACTTTACAGAACAACCAACACCTCCCTCCCTTGAAATAGCTATCAAGAAATGCACTCACTCCCCCTCCAAGTCCCAAGTTGGAAATTAGCCCAAGGACAAGCTAGTGGATTTACTACGGGGAGAGCAAATGGATTTTTGCTTTTATTTTGACGAGTCCCAGTGTATCCATTAAGCCTTTTAATCATACATTATTCATAGAGCTCGCCTCATAATAAATGACCACATAAAAGAGGTACACATATTACACAAGGCCTAAAACGCCCCCATAACTCTCTCCCCGAGTGCACTCAGTGCCACGGCACATTTGTAAGCTGGTTCAGGAATATGAGCCTGTGAAATCGCAGAGAGATGGTGTTTCGGTTCCAAGTGTGACACCAGGACACGACCGGAGTCAGCAAA